GAGTGTTCTTCATCTGGCCAACTGTTGTGAAGGGTGTTTTCTTCACCAGGGAAAGAATTCTTCGGTCATCCACCACAGTTGTTTTCCGTGGTCTTCCGGGTCTTTTGGTGTTGCTGAGCTCACCGGTGCGTTCCTTCTTTTTAAGAATGTTCCAAACAGTTGTTTTGGACACGCCTAATGATTTTGCTATCTCTCTGATGGGTATGTTTTGTTTTTTTTTCAGCCTAATGATGGCTTGCTTCACTGATAGTGACAGCTCTTTGGATCTCATCTTGAGAGTTGACAGCAACAGATTCCAAATGCAAATAACACACTTGAAATGAACTCTGGACCTTTTATCTGCTCATTGTAATTGGGATAATGAGGGAATAACACACACCTGGCCATGGAACAGCTGAGAAGCCAATTGTCCCATTACTTTTGGTCCCTTAACAAGTGGGAGGCACATATGCAAACTGTTGTAATTCCTACACAGTTCACCTGATTTGGATGTAAATACCCTCAAATTAAAGCTGACAGTCTGCAGTTAAAGCACATGTTGTTCGTTTCATTTCAAATCCATTGTGGTGGAGTAGAGAGCAAAAAATGTTAGAATTGTGTCGATGTCCCAATATTTATGGACCTGACTGTATTGTTACCTTTGTCCTATGACATAAGAGGATGACAGTTGTAATTATCTTGTATTTTATATACCATAGATCTTTTCTCCAATGAAATTCCAGATGAAGCAACATTAGTGAAAATCATTGAGTCACACCTTCCCTACGTCACTGTGCAACTAGCACCTGGACAAACTCTTGAATTTGTACAACATAGGCATAGGTCTCTGTCAGCAATGATGTTGTTACTATATGCCCATTTCAGTAGTAATAAAAACTCTTGGATTAAAAAAATATACATACATTATACCAAGGATGTGCTAAATCTATATCGTCAAATTATATTAACCATTTCAAGTCCGGACACTTTCATCCCCTTCCAGTCCAGGTCAATTTTCAGTGACAATTGTGCGGTCATGCAACACTGTACCCATATTAATTTTTTAGCATTTTTTTGAGACAAATACAACTTTATTTTGGTGGTATTTATTCACCACTGGGATTTTTTTTTTTTGCTATGTAAATTAAAAAGTCCAAACATTTTGAAAAAAAAAAAAGTGTTTTTCTTAGAAAATTTTGCAAATAAATCTTTCTTCATAAATCTTGGCCAAAATGTATTCATCTATCTTTTTAGTAAAAAAAAAACAAAACAAAAAAACAAAACAAATGAGTTTATAACCAAAAATAATAATTTTTAAAAAAATGTTTTTTACATTTTTATTTATTTTAAATATTATTTATGTTTTTTTAAACATGTCCCCCTACCAGTACAGTGTCACCCTAGCAGTACAGTGTCACCATAGTGACACTGTACTACTTGTGGGGGCAATGAAGATTTTTTTTTTTTTTTTTACAGATTGCTTTTACACCCATAAAGGCTGTAAAAGCAATAATTTCTCCTTCTCTCCGGCTGCATTCTTGCAGCCATTGAGAAATACTGTGAGAGCTGTGATTGGTCACAGCTTATCACATTGTACAAGGCTGTTGTGAATAGCCTTGTACCATGTGACCTCTGTGATCATTCAGATTTCACAGTAGTAAGCAATGATGTCAGGAAGTGACATCTTGTTTACTACTATTCATGTGGTCACTGATTGGCCAATCAGTGAACACATAAATCAGGACCTCACACAGAGGTCCTGTACAGTGGTTGATGTTCCGCTGTGTCCGGCACCGGTCACGGTGCCGTGCGCTCCCAGGGAGCGAGCACAGGCAGTGAATGTGGGTGACGTTTAGAAACGTCAACCCGCATCGGCAGCGCTACCGTCCAGACATTTATCTATATGGGCCGGACGGGAAGTGGTTAATGTTTCCTAGTACTAAACCTGAACACTGCCAACAGACTCGCCTACAAACATTTATAGTTACCTTGAAGTGAGATTTGATGGCAGTTCACTGCCTACCACATTTACCTGGTGCACATTTATCCAACTGTATACAGTTGCAAGAAAAAGTATGTGAACCCCTTGGGATTATGTGGAGTTTTGCATGAATTGGGCATAAAATGTGCTCTGAACGTCATCGAAGTCACAACAATAGAAGAACACAGTCTGCTGAACATAATACTATACAAACATTAGATGTTGCCATGGTTTAATTGCACATAACATGTAAACATTCACAGTGCAGGGAGGAAAAAGTATGTGAGGCCTTAGCTTAATGACTTCTCCCAGAGCTAATTGGATCCAGGAGTGACCAAACCTCGACTCCAATCAGTGTGATGATATTGGATGTGTTGCTGACAGCTGTCCTGAACTTAAAAAAAACACACACCTGTTTTGGGTTTACTGGTTTCAAGAAGCACTGTCTGATGTGAACCATGCCTCGCAGAAAAGAGCTCTCAGAAGACCTACAATCAAGAATTGTTGACTTGCATGAAGCTAGAAAGGGTTACAAAAGTATCTCCAAAAGCCTTGATGTTCATGTGTCCACGGTAAGAGAGACTGTCTACAAATGGAGAAAGTTTAGCACTGTTGCTACTCTCCCTAGGTGTGGTCGTCCTGTAAAAATGACTGCAAGAGCACAGCGCAGAATGCTGCATGAGGTAAAGAAGAATCCCAGAGTGTCAGCTAAAGACCTACAGAAATCTCTGGCACATGCTAACATTTTTGTTGACACATCTACAATAAGGAAAACATTAAACAAGAATGGAGTACATGGGAGGACACCACGGAGGAAGCCATTGCTGTCCAAAAAGAAGATTGCAGCACGTTTGAAGTTTGCAAAAGAGCACCTGGATGTTCCACAGCACTACTGGCAAAATATACTGTGGACAGATGAAACCAAGATTGAGTTTTTTGGAAAGAACACACAACACTATGTGTGGCGAAAAAAAAGGCACAGCACACCAACATCAAAACCTCATCCCCACTGTAAAACATGGCGGAGGGAGCATCATGGTTTGGGGCTGCTTTGCTGCCTCAGGGAATGGACGGATTGTTGTCATTGATGGGAAAATGAATTCCAGAGTTTATCAAGACATTTTGCAGGAAAACGTACGACCATCTGTCCGCCAACTGAAGCTCCGCAGAGGATGGGTGATGCAACAGGACAATGACCCAAAGCATACAAGTAATTCAACAAAACAATGGCTGCAACAGCACAGAATACGCCTTCTGGAGTGGCCCAGTCAGAGTCCTGACCTCAACCCGATTGAAATGCTGTGGCATGACCTTAAGAGAGCGATTCACACCAGACATCCCAAGAATATTGCTACACTGAAACAGTTTTGTGAAGAGGAGTGGTCCAAAATTACTCCAGATCATTGTGCAGGTCTGATCTGCAACTACAGGAAACGTTTGGTTGAGGTTATTGCTGCCAAAGGAGGGTCAACCAGTTATTAAGTCCAAAGGTTCACATACTTTTTCCTCCCTGCACTGTGAATGTTTACATGTTATTTGCAATTAAACCATGGCAACATCTAATTTTTGTGTAGTATTATGTTCAGCAGACTGTGTTCTTCCATTGTTGTGACTTCGATGAAGTTCAGAGCACATTTTATGCCCAATTCATGCAAAACTCCACGTAATCCCAAGGGGTTCACATACTTTTTCTTGCACCTGTATAGGGTGAATGTGAACATGGAATGCCAGGCAAATGCTGTCAAATCTCACTTGGGTAACAAATTCACTGGGAGATTTTCTCAGGGAATCCTTCATTAATATGCCCATAAGAAAAAGCTGCTTATGAAAACACCTGTACAAAACAATATGCAAAAGGTCACTTTAACCTTTCCATTGGTTAAAATTGATGGACTTTTTTTTTTTAACCTAATAACAATACTTAACACATTTTGCATAAAACACCTTGGGGAAGATTTACTAAAACTGGTTCATACAGAATCTGGTGCAGCTGTGCATAGTAACCAGTAAATAAGTATGTCGGTGTATTACTAAATACTAATACAATAAGCGATAAATAACCCCAGACGCCAAATTATACTTTCTGCCCCAAAAGTCACAAATATATAGTCCAACTCTTATTCAGCGTCTCTGTGTAAAAAAAAACCAATTGTGCAGATCTCTTCTATTAGTAAATTCTTCTCTCTTTCACAAGTGATAAACTCCTCTTCCTCCACTTAATATCCTCAAAAAAATAAAATTGCATATAGTGAATTATCCAAAACGCATGATATCCAATACAAAAAAATGCACTTACAAAATTAGTGCAAATATGTGTAAAACATTCCACTCCACCATGTGTCCACGTCGAACCTTCTGTCATCCTTACTCTTACCCTGTTAAAATTAGGAAGAGCATCAACAAAATCCACCTTCCTTCGTGGTTGAATGCCTATATCAGTCCAATTTCGTATGGAAAATGTATGTTCGAAGGAATTATATATAGTGTCATATCTTCACAATAGCATACATGCTCCCCTCACATCAAACAAAATATTCCCAGTGTTGGTGAACACACTGACCACCGCCTCCTATCTCCTGCACATTACCAAATGATAAAGTCCACTTGCACAAAGAGGGGGGGGGGCTCCTTTCACTCCACAGAGTATCAGATTCAAAATGGCATCATAACGTGATAAAATAAACTTCAAATAGTGTAGCAGGCAATAAATAGGGATATTCTTCTTTAATAATGAAAATGTGCTCAAACAATCTAGGCGTCTTAGCGTAAACTCCTACTGGCAAAACTGTATGAAAACCTTTTCCAAAACGGCCACTCCAAAATTTTACGTCCGACGTCATACTGGCGCGTTTCGTCACTTCCGACTTCTTCTGAGGCTGTGCATATCAGATTCACGGCCACTTAAATTCCCCTCTACTATCGATACACCTGGCAGTATCAATGTCCTTTATATTATTCTTACCGACCCCACAATAAGTAATAAACTAAAAATGTGAGTGTTTATAGTTGCGCGCTGGAACGATTATGGCGCAAAACCAAATCCCCTCAAGCATTCTCCCTCTACAAATCCGCCTTCCTCACCTACACCTCCTCCCTCCACGCCGCCAAACAAGCCTACTTCGTAACCCTCATCAACACCCTCTCCTACAATCCTCGCCGGCTCTTCTCCACTTCTTCACTTTCAACTCCCTACTCTCCCCCCCCACGCAGTACCTCACTCACCGCCCACGAGATTGCCATTCACTTCCAAAATAAGATTGACGCAATCCATAAGAACACCTACCTCCTACCTCCCCACCTAGTCTCCACCTACCTCCCCACCTAGTCTCCCTCCCACTACAACCCCTCCAACTCTCCCCTACTCTGACTTCGCAACCGCCCGCCCTGCCCCCCATCACCCTTAACATCCCGCACACTATAACCTCCCCAACACTCCGCTCCTTCAGCCTTGCAACCACTGAGGAGGTCACTAAGGTCTTCTCAGAAGTCCGCCTCACCACTTGCCCCCTTGACCCTGTCCCCACACAACTCACCCGGGCACCCTGCCCCTCCATCCTACGCTCCCTCACCAACATCTTCAATCTCTCCCTCTCTACTGGCGCATTCCCCTCTCCCCTAAAGCACACGCACATCACCCCCCATACTCAAAAAACCCTCCTTGGACCCCACTGACCTGAACAACCTTATACTCATCTCCCTGCTGCCATTCACTTCCAAGCTCCTTGAGCGCTTAATTTACAATCGCCTTAGCTCCCACCTCACTGACAACAACCTCTTTGATCCACTACAGTCTGGCTTCCGTCCCCTACACTTCACCGAAACCGCCCTACTCAAAATCACTAATGACCTGCTAACTGCCAAAGCTAATGGCCACTACTCAGTCCTCTTACTCCTTGACCTCTCTGCGGCCTTCGACACAATTGACCACCCCCTCCTCCTTGATAAACTACACTCCCTCGGCATCAGAGACTCCGCTCTCTCCTGGCTCTCCTCCTATCTCTACCAACGCTCCTTCAGCGTTACCTATAATGCTACCACCTCTATCCCTCTCTGTTGGGGTCCCCAAGGCTCTGTCCTCGGGCCCCTTCTCTTCTCCATCTACACCTCCTCCCTTGGCAAACTGATACACTCCCACAGCTTCAACTATCACCTCTACGCTGATGACACACAAATTTACCTCTCCAACCCTCAAATCACCCCTTCAGTCTCCGCCCGTATCACCCACCTGCTGAACGACATATCAGACTGGATGTCGCTCCACTTCCTCAAACTGAACCTTTCCAAAACCAAGCTCCTAATTTTCCCCCCAACCTGCGCCCCCCCCACCCTCTCCATCATGACCAACAACGCCACCATCAGTCCCACCCCGCAAGCCAAAGTCCTAGTTGTCACTCTGGATTCAAACTTGTCCTTCCAACCCCATGTCCAATCGCTAGCAAGCTCATGCAGGCTCCAACTCCGCAACATCTCCAAAATACGTACATTCCTAACCCCAGACACATACTAAACAACTCGTTCACTCCCTCATTATCTCACGCCTGGACTACTGCAACTCCCTCCTCACCAGCCTACCTCATCACAGACTATCCCCGCTTCAGTCTATCCTGAACTCAGCGGCCAGACTCATCCACCTTATCAACTGCTCCTCTTCTGCCACCCCCCTCTGTCATTCCCTCCACTGTCTCCCGATTGCCCAACACATCAAATTCAAACTACTAACACTGACATACAAAGCCATTCATAACGCTGCCCCAAACTACCTCACCGACCTGATACCCAAATACCACCAAACCCGTAATCTTCGCTCCTCACAAGACCTACTTTCTAGCTCCCTGGTTTCCACTTCCCACGCCCGACTGCAGGTCTTCCCCCATCCTCTGGAACTCACTACCCCAATCCATCAGACTGTCACCTACCCTCCTCCTTGAAAAACCCATCTCTTCAGGGAAGCCTACCCTACCCTCACCTAGCTGCCAATCTCCTCCACTCCTCCTACCACTCCATCCCCTACAGCCACTCCTCCTGTGCCACTATCCCCTCCCTCCTAGATTGTAAGCTTGAAAGAGCAGGGCCCTCGTGTATTGTTTTGTTACTGTATTGTCTCACGTACTGTCCCTGACTATAATGTACAGTGCCGAGCAAACCTTTTGGCGCTATATAAATACTGTATAATAATAATAATGTGGATCGAATCAATACATTAGGCATATTCTACAATACTATAATACAGCATATTGCCATCTAGTGGTGTTATTGTAAATCTTCCCAAAAATGTAATATAAACAACCTTACAAGTCCATTAAATTGTGCAACATAATTACTAATCTTAAAATAAAATAAAAAAACTACATTGATTATAGCTCATATAACTGCCTAAATTACAATACCTTTTCAGACTGCTTTTTTATTAGAAGAAAATAAAATTGAGGTATATGTAAAATTTTAAATCTGGGATCACTAACTCACATAAAGGCAATCTTTAATCCCACTTTCTACCCCAAAATAATAATATCCAAAAGGCCCAAGGTATGGCACCAACACTAATTATCTCACCAACTGAATATTTAAATACTTATATTCTGGCATAGAATTCCCAATTAATATTATATTCTAAAATATTCCTATTTATGTAAAGCTAAAATACATCCCAAACTAGTCTGATTAAAAAAAAAAAAAAGGAAAAATTCCTAGTACAAAAAAACACACACATACAAATGGAGATTCTAACCCTAATCAGATCTACTTGTCATTTAATATACAACTGTAACCTATATCACATATGCCTATGAGCCCCCTATTTGTCCCAGAATAATTTATTAAACTATTTTTTTTAATTTATAAATTCTATAATGAAGATTAGATAATAAATGAAGATGGATAAACTGGAATGGAATTACTGCATATTCTAATACTCTAAAATCATATCTGAGATAAAACAATTCAGATCCAATTCAACATTGAGACCCTTGGGACTCATAGGCCCTAATTCACTAAGACGTGAGTCTACTATCAGACTCTGACCATTCAGGCAGACTCAATTAAATCAATCAAGACCTGTCAGTCTTCTGAGCGGCGTCTAGCAATCTCATTAACCAACATCTACTTTGCTATTAGTAAATGTGGAATCAGGTCTGGCACATTTTTTAGGTGCAATACCGGATATGTTCGCTAGATGGCGCACAAGCGGGAGCTTTATTAGCATTGGCGTTTTTGTCTTAGCAAAAGAGAATATTTAGAATAACAAATAGTACACCTATATTAGAATTTTTTTTTTTTTTTTGCAGTTTCTCCAAAATGAGGAAACTAATGCATTTACTAATGAATGTCATACATTCTATTTTCAAATGTTAAACATTTTCACACTTATATCTCAAATAATTTGGATACTTCTAATTTCCCAATATAATTATATATCTTCATTCTCTTTAATCACGTAACTATTCTATGTTAAAGATAAGTGCAGCGCTATAAATGCATGTGATCAATAATGAACGCATGTAAAAACCAAAAAGTGCAAAGAATTGCAATAATGATGTAAAATGGTAAATGGTGCTAAAATAAGTTCATATAATCATTCCTGAATAATGGAATGTCCTTCGTGTGAGAGTACCAACTCAGAGAGTGCCTATGAATGGCACGTGTGGTCTCTCCGTGACGGACAGTAGTGCATGAACTCGTGAAAGGTAAACCACCCTTGGGACTGGTCTACACTCACCAGAACAAAAGTATTAATGCGCATGGGTTATACACATCACACATCTGGGGGTGCAGCGGTATGCTGGCAGCTATGGGTTAGTCATCCAGCTCCATCCATCCATCAGGGTAGGTGCCCAAATGGTCCTGGGGAGGAATTAGCTCAGCCACAGGAGCCAGAAAAAGGTGCTTAATAGGGGTGGATGACCTTTCACGAGTTCATGCACTACTGTTCGTGGTTATATTTATCTTGTGTAATACCATTTTAGTAGTCTATATAATTTGACCAGCGCTCGCTTTATCATTTTTAAACAATGTAAACTATTCTACATTGGACCTCAAAACTGTCTCCCACAGTGGTTTAGTGGTTAGAGCTCAGATCATACAGCACTTGGGTCATGGGTTCTAATCCAAGTCATGGCTACATCCCAGTTTGCATGCTTTCACTGTATGGATCTGTTTCTGCCAACACTTAAAAGACATGCTGTTAGGTTCATTGGGCCTAGTTACATGGCTGAGTTTCTGCCCTTAGATTAGAAGCTCCTTGACATTTTATGAACGTTAAAAAAATGGAGATCAATTTTCTGGGTTGTGTCAGTGCCAGGAATATTGATCAATCAATTATGATTTTGCCTAATGACTAGAAAGTGGATGAATGTTACCTGCGTCCTGTTCTTCTGCCAATTAGAAAATGTGCACGTTTCATGCTGTGTATATTTCATTGTAACTTTTTTCTCTTCTTTTAAATCTGTCTCCTTATACAACTTGACCCCCCTCCCCCACCCCATCATCACCTGTCCCATATGCAAATCTATAGATTACCGCCCCACTCTTTTTAACTATTTACTGATCAAGTGAATGTGTCTCATTTTTCTATCAGCTACAGCTCAGATCTCACATTATTATACGATTGCTGATTGTATATCACCACTAGTCTGATTGAATTCACAATCCCTGGTCAGGTCCCCCGTTCCCTGACCTCTAATAATCTTAAGGACCAGTTCACACTACATGTGTTTCAGTTGCTTTTTCGGCATCACAAACGCACAGAAAGAAGGCTATATGGTTGTCAATGTCATAGTTCACATCAGCGCTTGCATTTTCAGTGCATTGCAGGTGCTGTAAACAAAGTTGACCACGCTGCATTGTTTCTGCACAGAACTGTACTGGAACACATTGAAACGTCCTTGAATGTACTAAAATGCACATGTCTCTAATTAAATTGAATAACAAGAAAGTAGAAAAAACTAACTGGAAGGGATACAAAAATGCAATGCAACGTGTCCAAAACACATCCAAAATGTACTGGAACACACTAAAACATGCATGCCAAAAGGGCATGCAAAAACGCATCAGGAACACATCTAGACTGTTTCTATAGTGTGAACTGGCCCTTAAGACTTGTTCACACCATTGGTGGTGCAGAAACGCATGCAAGAACACATTCTCCAGCACAGAAAAGAAATGCAATGCCCTTTGCAGATGTGCATGGTTAGGCGCAACACACTTTTAAAATAATATGCCTGCAGTATTTTTGCATGTTCCCACACATTAGGCAGGCCATTGAAATTAATGAGCTGAGGAAAAAAAAAAAAAAAAAAAAAAAAAGTAAAAAAAATGCCCCATTCACACAGGCCTGTACAGCATGTATGAGTGGGTTATGTGGCTAGAGCCACCTGTTACACTATGGGGACACAGCAGGTTTTAATCTGACAGGTGTGAAGGCGTGGGGAAGTGGCCCTGAATGCTTACTGTCTGCACACCTGCACCCATATGCTTGTCAAATTATGACCCGCAGCAATTCCATAGTGTAACATAGGTTGCCTGCAAACAGCGATAGCCACAAAGACAAACCACTGATTCCC